ACTCTCATCAGCAACGACACTGGACGAGTCAGCTTCAAGATGAAGGACCGCAGAGGGAACGTGAAGTGTTAAATACTCATCCACCGTCTTGTGTGATGGCGTCGATAGCTCTGTAGAGTCCTCAACAGATCGAGTTGTCGGCGTATCAGGGTATTCGTCATCGGCTAGAGGTTCACTAGTGTGTTTATCAGCGTCAGAGGTGGTCTCCTTCGGATTCATCAAGTACCTCTTATCATTATTGCTGCTTGGGGCAAATGTGAACTTGCAAACCTCGTGAGCTAAAGCGACAATCGCCTGTTCGTTTACCAACACCATATCGACGATCGCGGCGCCAATATCGAAGTATCGCTTTTCTTGTACACTGCCGCATTCCGAAATTTGCCAGTGAATTACAGTCATATCGAGAGAGCTGCTCAGGAATTCAGTCAACTCTGAAGAGACCACATCCCTCGCAATGCGACAGATCTTTGTTACCCGTCGCTCGTGTTTCGTTGACGCCTCCAGTTTTTGAAACGAAACTCGCTTAACATTTACGCACCAAACAGCCAATCGACCATCGTCGTAACCCACGCTCACATGCAGTTTTCCTCCAGCTTTTTGACCACCCGATCCAACGTTGTTTTCTTGATTTCTCATCAACTCAATACAAGATGGAGATACTGGATAACCCTCAGCAACGCTGTTGACATAACCGATCAGTTTTAATGACGGAATGCTCCATAGTTTGATGATACCGCCGGTACCCACCGACGCTAGCAAAGCGCGTTGCCCTCTGACTGCATCTAAGCTCGCCAGTTGAATAATATGAGACGAGTGTGCATCTTGGACTCGCACATTTGCCTTCTCAATCGATCGCAGAGTGAAATCGTTATCCCAAAGCGCTTCGACATACCATCCGTACAAATTACCGCTTTCTGTACCAGCGACAATAATTGTTTTATGAGCCACCGCTTCTTCGGACGTATCACTAGAGAGACAATCAGTGTGATGGTGAGATGTATCCCAATACGATGGAGATGACAAAAAACCTGCTTCACCAATAGCGTTATAAGCTGACATGTTCTTGTG